TAAGGGATTTCTAGATTTTACAAAATCATTAAATATAATGGGGACAAAGTATAATTTTCTTGATTTTAAACTCATTTAATTTTTATGTTTGAGCCTGGAATAATGAATTCAAGTTCAATCATGCCTGTCCATTTTAAAACATTACTTGTAGTTTTGATATTATTTAGTTACATAACAAACTAGAAGATAAGAAAAATATAAATTTGTTTTGTTTTATATCTTAAATTCAAACATTTCTTAAAGGACCCAAATTTATTTTACTTTGGGATTTTGCTACTGTGTTATAAATTCAAATAATTATTAAAAGAGAAACTCATTTAATAGCCTCCAAGGAAAAAAATAGTTAATACATATTGGATTAGGGAAACGAATTTTAAATTTAAAAATTCTTTTAAATCAGATTTGATATAATTAAATTAATTTTGATCATGGGGCAGAACATTGTAAAAGTCTACACACATTTGGAAAGTTTTAAAACATTCTAAAATATTATAGAAAACTCCACAATATAGTAGAATAGTTTAGAGAATTTAATAATATAATAGAAAGAAGAAAATATCTTAAAATATTTAAGAAGACTAATAATAACCTTTCGATTAAGTTTATCTTAAACTTCCGTTGAAAAAATGGAAGACAATATAAACAGTGAGAGACCTCATTTGAGAGATGTTCATAAAAAATCATAGTGGCCTGGTAGAGAGTACCATATTTTCAATTGATATCTATCTCTTAATATTTGTTATTGTTAGTGTGTTTTGAGCCATTATAGTGACTGTCTTTTGTGTCAAGTTTTTCACTTGAGTATAGTAGGTTAATACTCTGATTTTTTTCTTTTGTGTTAAGTTTTTCATTTGAGTATAGTAGGTTAATACTCTGGTCTTTTTTGTTAAGTTTTTCTTTTGTGTCTTTTGGGTTTTTTTTAAGTATAGTAGGTTAATACTTTGGCTTTTTTCTCTGGCACATCGGAAACGAAATACCCTATTCAAACCATGGTTTAAATATCATATGAAATGAAATGGTACCTATTACTATAGTCAGTTCATTTTTTTTAATCTTATTGTTAATATTTTTGGATGTTTTTAATGAACTTGCTTCCATAAGTCAGACCAATTTTTCTTTCGGCATCATAAAACTGATTGCAATTTGGATTCAAGTCACTCCATACCAATGCACAGTTAAAGCTGTTAAAGCCATTATAGTGATGGTCTTTTGTGTAAATCTTTCATTTGTTTAAAGAGTATATTTATTGAAGATACTGAGCTACAGAGCAATACTACTGATGCTTCAACTGCTAGCAGTACCACTGTTGCTTCAACAGATTCTGGTACAACTGCTGCTGCAAGAAAAAACTGCTCTAACTAATTCTGTTATTCCAGCTGTGGAAAGAAGCTTCTCGAAGTTACTTCCACCTCATCCATTTAGTTATAACTATCACTCCATTGTAACAAACTAGGACTTACTTACAAGTTTATAAATACAGCATTGTAATTCATTCTCAGTATTATTCTGAAAATTAAATAATAAAAGAAGTTCTTAGTTTCTTCATGGTATCAGAGCATGCTCTCTCTTACGAGTTGATCCATGGTTCCTTCTACTCCTTTGTTATCTTCTCTCATGGCTTCAACCTCACTTCCTCCAAATCTCTCATTACTGATTTCGAACTTCTCTTCATTCATCACTATCAAGCTTGATGCATCAAACTTTCTGATATGGAAAAATCAAGTGCAGAATATACTCATTGCTACTAGTCTTCTTGGATTTGTTGATGGAACTATACCATGTCCACAATTGAGAATAACAGATTCTTCTGGTTCAGAGAAAGACAATCCTGAATACCTGCAATGGAAGCTTATCGATGCACACCTGCTCAGTTGCATTACTGCAACTTTGTCACCTGCAATCTATTCCTCTGTTCTTCATCTTCATAGCTGTGCTAAGATCTGCACTGCTCTACATAAGCAATTCACTTCACTTTCTTGATCTCATGTTCATCAGTTGAATAACAAATTAAACAACATTTCTAAGAAAACAGATTCGATGGAGAATTATCTTTCCAAGATCAAAGACTGGGTCAGTCAATTGGCTCTTGTTTCTTCATTTATAGATGATGAAGATCTTGTTTTGCTTACCTTGAATGGTCATCCTGATAAGTTTGATGCCTTCAAGACTACCATTCGAGCCAGATCAGAGTCAATTCGCATAGAAGAATTGACTGCTCTTCTTCTGTCTGAAGCTGTTCATATGGACTCCAAACTTCAGAAACTGTCTTCTGAACCTACTATGGCATGTTCTTCAGTTCGAGGTTCTTTCAATGCTAATCTCAGAGGTCGTTCTTCTGGCTTCAGAGGTCATTCTTACAGAGGCAATAAAGGTGGTCACTCTTCTAGAGGCAATCCTCGCGGTAATGGTAGATCTGGCTCTAATTTCACCAATTCAAGGACCTTTTCTGATCAAAGAGGTTTTTCTCGCAGCAGGGGTCAATCTATAACTTGTCAGATTTGTGGCAATTCTGGTCACTCTGCATTAGACTGCTGGTATCGAATGGATTCTCAGTATCAGTTTTCCTCTAGTTCTCAACATCCTTCTGAGTTCAACTCCCGAGCCTTTGTTGCTGCAACTCAATCAGCAACTGCTACTCCTCACACGCCTTGGTACTTGGACTCTGCTGCTACAGATCATATCACACATGATCTTTATCATCTCAGTCACACACAGCCTTATCAAGGTTCTAATCAAATCACAGTAGGTAATGGAACTACAGTTCCCATTCACAACACTGGTAAGGGACTGCTTCCTACACCGCATTGTTCTTTTCGTTTGAATCATGTTTTACATACACCGTCCATTTCCTCTAATCTTCTGTCTGTTCACAAATTTACTAAGGACAATAATTGCCTCATTACCTTTGATGATTCTAAATTTGTGATTCAGGACAAGGATTCGAGGAGAATTCTTCATCAGGGTTCTAGTACTAATGGTCTATACCATTTTTACTCTCCTTCTTCATCCATGTAGCCTGCTGCCCATCATTCTTACTTTACTACATCACAGACATCTGTTTCTTCCTCTATTTGGCATAATAGATTAGGCCATCCTTCCTTAGTGAAGTATAATCATCTGAAACCATTGTTGAAAGTTTCCTAGAATAAAATGGACTCTGCTTGTACTGATTGTTGCATAGCTAAAAGTCATAGACTTCCGTTTCAATAGTCTAATACTACTGTAAATGCTCCTCTTTCTCTTATCCATAGTGATGTATGGGGGCCATATTCTTCTACATCTGGTTATAAATACTACTTACTTTTTGTGGATGACTTTAGTCGATTTACCTGGCTTTTTCCATTATCTTATAAAAGTGAAGTATGTGACAAGTTCATAGAATTCAAGGCTTATATTGAAAACCAATTTCATACTTCATTAAAAATTCTGCGAACTGATGGTGGATCTGAATATTTTACTAATAAAATGAAGACCTTCTTGAGTACTCAAGGTGTTATTCACCAACACTCTTGTCCTCACACTCCTTCTCAGAATGGTATTGCTGAGCGAAAACATCGGCATATTACTGAAACTGCTACTGCACTTCTTCATCATGCATCTGTGCCTTTACAATACTGGTTTGATGCTGTTGCTATTTCTACTTTTCTTATTAATAGACTTCCCTCTTCTAAGCTTGGACATCAATCTCCATTTGAAAAGCTTTTTCAATACACTCCTGATTACTCTTATTTTCGCATATTTGGTTGTCAATGCTTCCCTTGGCTTAAGCCTTATCAGCCTCTCAAGCTACATCCTAAATCTGTGTCCTGTGTTTTTCTGGGCTATCATCCTTTTGCTAAAGGATATCGATGTCTTGACCCACTCACTGGTAGAGTCTATCTGTCTCGACATGTGGTCTTTAATGAGCACGTGTTTCCCTTTGCTCATCTGACTTCTTCTATATCTCCTCAATCCTCTTCAACATCTTTACCAACCACATTACCTGAGATTCATTCTTTTTTCTGGCCTTCTTTCTCTTCTTCTACTGGTTCTCAGATTCTCGCTACTGCAGTCCCAAATTCTGCAGTCCCAGATTCTGCAGTTCTTTCTGTCCCAGTTTCTGTTGTTCCTACTTCAGTCCCAAATTCTGCAGTCTCAGATTCTACAGTTCCTTCTGTCCCAGTTTCTGCAGTTCCTCCTTCTTCTTTACCCACACCTATAGTTCCTATTCAGTCTATTTCTATTGAGTTACCTCATCTACCTCCTTCTCAGTCTAATCAGCATCCTATGATTACCAGATCCAAATCTGCTGCTACTGTTCCTCCTCACTGTTTGCTTGCTTCCTCTGTCCCCGCCTCAGTTTCCTACACTACTACTGAACCTCCTTCTTACAGAGAAGCTTTGCTGTCTCCTGTTTGGCATCAAGCTATGCTTGATGAATTGACTGCTCTTCAACAACAACATACATGGTCTTTAGTGTCTCTTCCATCTAACAAAATGCCATCGGCTGTAAATGGATTTTCAAGATTAAACGAAATTCTGATGGCACTATTGCAAGGTATAAGGCACGATTGGTTGCTAAAGGGTACCTGCAGCAAGAGGGTATAGATTTTCATGAGACTTTCAGTCCAGTGGCTAAGCAACCCACTATCCGAATCTTACTTTGTCTTGCTCTTCACTATCAGTGGTCACTTAAACAGTTAGACATTTCCAATGCATTTCTCCATGGCCGTCTTGACGAAGAAGTATTCATGCTTCAGCCTCCAGGTTTTGCAGATTCTTCTTCACCTAATCAAGTATGTAAACTACACAAGGCATTATATGGGTTGAAACAGGCACCACGCGCTTGGTATTCCACATTTTCTCAATACTTGTTGTCTCAAGGCTTCATTAATAGCAAGAGTGATTCTTCTTTATTCATTCAAAAGACATCCACTTCAGTCACTTATCTGTTGATTTATGTAGATGACATCTTGATCACTGGTGATAGCTCTTCTCATATTTAATCTCTCATTACAAAGATGCACAGTGTGTTCTCCATGAAGGAATTGGGTGACATCGCTTATTTTCTTGGTATTTCGGTCCAGCCTACCAGCTCAGGATATCTTTTATCTCAGTCTAAATATGCCAAAGAAATTCTACTTAAAGCTGGCTTGTCATCTTGTAAGTCTTGCCCTTCACCCATTTCAGTCAAGCCTAGTGTTCCTCCAAATGCTGCTTTACCATTTTCTGATCCAGCTCTTTATAGAAGTATTGTTGGTGCCTTACAATATCTCACCATTACCAGACCAGATCTGTCTCTCTCTGTTAACCAGGCTTGTCAACATATGCATGCCCCTACCATTGAACATTTTGCTGCCGTGAAGAGAATTCTTAGATATGTTCAAGGCACCATCACTCATGGCTTGTCTTTCTCCTCCAGTACTTTTGATGTGCATGGGTATTCCGATTCCAATTGGGCAGGAGATGTTCTTGATAGAAAATCAACGACTGGTTACTGTGTTTTCTTGGGGTCCAATTTGGTCTCTTGGTCTGCCAAAAAGCAGGCCACAGTCTCTCGCTCTTCCACTGAAGCTGAATATAGAGCTTTAGCCAATACCACTGCTGAGTTAAGTTGGATTTCCATGCTGCTCACTAAAATGAGTATTTCTTCCCCTACTACACCCATACTCTGGTGTGATAACCTCTCTGCAATAGCTCTAGCTTCCAATCCCGTGTTCCACTCACGTTCCAAGCATATCGAAATCGATTGTCATTTTGTCCGAGATAAGGTTTTGGCTAAGCAATTTCAGTTGCAATACATTCCAACTATGGATCAGCTTGCTGATCTGTTTACTAAACCTGTCAGCGTATCTCGGTTTCAATATCTCAAGTCCAAGCTCATGGTTCTTGATCGCCCCATCAGCTTGCAGGGGACTATTGAAGATACTGCTTCAACAGATTCTGGTACAACTACTACTGCAACAGATTCTGGTACAACTACTGCTGCAAGAAATAACTGCTCTAACTAATTCTGTTATTCCAGCTTGTGGCGTCTATCTCCCAAGATACAATGATCTTCACAAATTTGTAGAAGCACTTCAAACAAATTTGTCCGGCGAACTAGAACCTTGTGTTTTATAACTCTTTGAAATTTATTCCTAATATTTTATATGAAGAATAATGCACTAAAAGAAAATGGACAGCAAAGAGACAAGAATTTCAGACTGAATTTTTCGGATCAATCAAAATTGGAATGGTGCTGCCTTTATATAGGCTTTGTTGGCACCTATTCAATTTGAATAGAAAAGGTATGAAGAAGGGACATACCTATTCCTTTAAAATAAAGAGACACTATGAAAGGTTTGCACCATTTCATTCAAATGGAGGTTTGACCCTTCATTTAAAACAAAAAGACACCATGAAAGGATACACCCTTTCATTCAAAATGTAGTCTATTTCAATTCACAACCGCCTCTTTATAAATTTTCCAACAAAAAATAAAAAAATTCATTCAGTTGTACAAAAAAATGACAAATTGTTGTACATCACATCATTATTCTAAGTGGAAACTATTGTACAAAAAGTACTGCAGAGATGGGAGGTTTAATGTACGAAAATCATTACCAGTAACATTTATCTTTTAGGAAATTGGTACATAAAATTGTATTACTTCGTTTTCGTAGATGTCATTATGAGTAGATGCAAAGGATCCTTGAACTTGTTTTTTGTAGAAGAAATAGACTTTCGCAAGTGTTTGTTTTCTCATGCTTTCAGAAAACTATATTACAAAAATTCAATGATTTTGTGCATAGCAATTTAGCAAATACTCATAATCTTTTTACAATTTAGGTGCCTTTATATTCACACAAGAGTTCTTGGGGATAATGTTCTAAGATTATCAAATAAATAAAGAGTTCTTGGGGATAATGTTCTAAGATTATCAAATAAATAAAGAGTTCTTGGGGATAATGTTCTAAGATTATCAAATAAATAAAGAGTTCTTGGGGATAATGTTCTAAGATTATCAAATAAATAAAGAGTTCTTGGGGATAATGTTCTAAGATTAAATTGTAATTGTGCAGTTCTTGGGGATAATGTTCTAAGATTATTAAATAAATAAATAAAAATTGGACAAGTAATAATATTCATGGTTCTTGTAATTTATTTGTTATGTTAATTTGATCATCATTATTTTAATTGTGTCAATTTTGTTCTTTGATTTTTCTCCAATAAAATTGGCCATTTTTAAATCCTGTAATTAATAATGTAAGATAAACATATAATTGGATTTATATATTTTAATATTTATTGGAAAACAAATGTGAATAAGAGAGAATTATTTACAATCACACTACAAATCCAAAATTATGAATATTTAGTTCAAATTTAATCTATACGTACACCAATAACACACCATTTAAATCTCAATCATTTATTTATTTTATTGGCCAAATTCGTGGTACCCAAGCCTAGGTAATTTGACTTTTTCAACTATCTAGTTTACTAATTCAGTTGAATAATTAATTTTACACTAATATCATTGCTTTCTAATTTTTTATTTTTTTTTAAAAAAAAGAAGATAAAATACCATAAAAAGCTTAACCAAAGAAGAATAACCTCTAAGACTAGACGCGAAGAAGCCGAAACCTAAGAGATCATCTGTAAACCAGACAATATAATCATAAAGTGTTTAATCATGGCAACAGCACGTGCTACCTCCACTACCTTCCTAATATGTTTGAACTCATGTGTGAACGAAGAAAATGTCAGTGGAGCTTTAATTGGACAATCAAATGGGTCGGATTTTTTTTAGTCTAACGGGTCCTATTTCGATAACTATTTCATGTGTAGGATTTGTTGAATATTTCATTCTTATAAAAAATTAAGTTAATCGGATATCGATAGACACTTGATCAAGTCATATTTCAGTCAACGGTAAACATGATGTTCAAAATAAATAATTGACAAAAATCTGATTCGATCAAATACTTATCGATATCCGATTAACGTGATTTTTTTGCATGAACGAAATAATCGACAAACTTTACGTATTGAATGATTCAAATCATCGAAATAGAATCCGAGGTAGGCCCAATGAACCCAAAGAGCACGGTCCAGTGCACATAGAGAATCTGTTTACCAGTCGCTTGTGTTTAAGAGCACAAAACCTTATTATTCTGATATGGTAATTTTTTCTATATATGAAAGGGTTCTTTCTCTACGACTTTTTTATTTCCCCTATAGTAAACCATCTTGATCAAACTCTTAAATTTAATTTTAATATTCATAATTAAATATAAGCTATTGCGGGGAGGTAGGTTTGGAAATACTCTAGTATTTTGATGGACGTTCTTGATCCTCTGATTGCCACCTGAAAAAAGAGATTAACACTCCGGTCGGGGGTGCTGGAGTTAGAACTCCGACGGACAAGTTAGTGTATGTCTCTTGTTTGCTTGTAACTTAAGTTTCTTAGGTCTGTTCTCACGTACCTTTCTTTAGTTGATGTTCCTCTATTTATATTTTCTTTGAGCCCTATGGTCGGGCCCCACTCTTAATCCATTGCAAGATTACTCATTCGGCCCCTTCTGTCGTATGCCGATTCCCACTTGGCTTTTGTTTAACTAGTTTTATGGCCGATTAATCTATTTGGCTTCGGGATTGTCCAGGATGGAGTCGAATATAACATTTATCCTGATTTTCTTCAGAGCTCTTCAGCTTTGCTATATGTATAATTATTTGGCTCCCGCACCTATTTATGTTGGATGATTAATAATACACCAATCTTTTTATTTTATATTCAAAAATTCAAACGCCAGCTTATAATTGCTCTATTTAATTTTCAAAAATTACACTTGTAGTTCTTCTAGTTTGCCCACACAAAAAATAAATAAAAAAATAAATGTTTTTTTGTCAATATGGTTCTTATAATTCTAATTGTATTAATTTTACTCTTCAATCTTTCATATTGTTTGATTTAGTTCAATTGATTAAGCCCTTTAGAAATTGGATTAAAATCAATTGGTCAAAATAATTTATTCACTCTTCTCAAAAGTGATTGAGAGATTGACATTTAAATGTCCCTTTTGAATTGACCATTTTGTCATTAGTTTTTATCTAATTTCTTAATGAATATTATCAATTAAACTAAAGTGACATAGTAAGAAAACTTAAAAGGCAAAACTAATACACTTAAAATTACACGAACTAAACTAACACAATAAATCAAATGAAGTACATATATAATTTTCCCTTTTCAAAATTTTCTATGTGATTATATGTTTCCCTTCTTCACAATATTTTCGAAATTTGCCGTAGTGATACTTGGGAACTTTTCATAATATCTGCATTAACCACCCCACAACATCCCAAATATTGTTGAAAAGGACGTTGATTCTTTGTCATCAATTCATTACACAGACTATCCCACTATTTTTGTTTTCTTTTTTGGTTGAGAAGACATAGAGATCATAGTTCCTTTTGATAAAGATTTATAATGCTTAGTAAGCACAACTCAGCCACCCTGAGTTATCACTGCAATACCCAAAACTATTCACCTCTTCAATAACCAAAACTAACCTCACCTTAGTAATTCCCATGGAAAGGTACTTCTTTGACTTGCTTGCCAAAGCCGTTGAGGAAAAAGAAGTGGGTTTAATAAAAATCAGATGCGTAGGGATTTTTTATTTATTTATTTTAAACAAACCCAAAGATCAATAGATGGTGATAGTCTTCTTCATGTCTAGCCATCTTATGCCTGCGTTGATCAACAAAAAAAGAAAATGAATAGAAATATAACCACCACATGCATCACCTTTATTTCTGTACTGAGATTTAAAATAACCAAAAATATATTAGAAATACGAAAATGTATAATGATTTAATAAAACATAGACTCTCCTATGATTGTGGACCCCACAGCTCTCATTTGATTTTTGTGTTTTGTGATGTTGCTCCTATATTGATTAATGTTGCTGCTGCTGCTGCTTGCTAGTTGTTTAGTTTCTATATGTTTTTTACTATTTATAAAATATATATATATATATATGGCAATACTACCACGATCAAAAATTTAATTTTATCTACTTCTAATATGTCCAAGGAAAAAAAGAAAGGCAGAAGAATATTTTGAGAAGATGATTAAAAATTAACCTTTTAACTTTTTTCTTTTTTTTTTCAAATTTTTTTATGAAAGAAGAAATAACTTTTAACTTACTTTTCAAAATGAGCCAGAACAATTTTTCATATCAAGAAACAATTACCCTAGAAACCAAATGTCACATCATCTGAGAGGCTTATAATAAAAAGCACACATCACACAACAAACTCTTAAAAAGACCTCAACACAACAAAATGACGGTTTTATGCATAGGTCACATCTTCTCTCCCGTTTAAATCAGATTGGAGAATATTGTTGGACTTCTGTAGATTTATTATGGAGTCCGCATTGATAATCTGAACCATTCAATATGTAATACTCACCGAGTATTTTATCACTGTAAAAAATTATATTAATCAGATATCGATAGTCACTTGATCATATCATATTTGAATCAACGGTAAATATAATTTTTGAAATAAATTGTTTATACAAATGTGATCTTATATAGTGCTATCGATATCCGAACAACATGATTTTTTACAGAGATAAAGTAATCGATGAGCCCTACATATTGAACGATTCGGATCATCGGTGTGCTTTCTGTAGTGAGCCCATGAAGGCTCAACAACAAATAAGCTGTACTTTAGTAAAACTCCGTTTGGTTTGACATAAATTTTATGTAAATTGATTTTTTATTTTGTTTTCAGTGTTTGGTTAATATTTAAAACTAAATTTTTCTATTGTACGTGTAGTCAACTTTTTACCTATGGAAAGATCAATATACTGAAAATACTGAGCTAAAAATTAAGTGTACGAGCACGAAATAATCTTATCGTATAATCTTATTGATCAAGTTTATACTCCTCCAAACGTCGTCGCTTTACTACTTGAAAACACAAACGTGAGCTAGTCGGCAGGTGTGTGCCGGAT